TCCTGTCTTCAGCAGACGAGTGAATCAAAAAGGAAGAAAAGAAATGAAAAGAATAGAAGTGAAGAAGAAAAGAAAAGAGAAGATGGGGTGAAACGGGTCTCAAGGCCAATTCTTTCTTTGACAGAGGCTTTTAGAAGAGAAAAGATCGCTCTAACCATGTTTCGTCTTTCCGCTTTCAGCCATGTCTTCACTCTTTCAGCCTTGTTCAAATCAGAAATCTTTGCTAGTTCAATTTCACTGGTGTTCTCTAGCTTATCTCCCTTACTACTTATTGGTCAGAGAAGTCGTTTTTCGTAGATTCAACAAGCTCAATTTGTTATGTTTTGACTGCAACGACTGCTTGCTTTGTTCCAACCCAATGATTTTTATGTTTTAAACCTTCAACGACTTTGCTTTGCTTTGCTTTGTTCTAAACCAATTTCATAAATCAAAGGAAAGTTAGTGTTATCTCATCGATCTCGACCCAATATCTGGAAGAAAGAGGAAAAGATGACCCAAGAGACTTGCCCTCACTCCTCGGTCCATTTCCACTCCTTTCACTCATCTTTGAGCCATCTTTAAACCCGTTAAAATCCTCATTTCCTTTTCTTTGCCTTGCATTATGACCTCAGCATTGCATATATTTAATCCCTTTGAAATAAGAAGGTTATTCATTTCATTCTTGGAGGGAACAACATAGAACTGACCATAGAACAACTTAATCCTGAACTTGACTATTGAACAACTTTATATTAAACTTGAGTCCAGAAAATTGTCAACACTCTAGGCTTTATTTTTGTTGGCTTTTAGTAAATAGATAGATAGATAGATTTTTGATGGATTTAGAAGGATTTCAAGCTTTCATTTTTGAATTTTAAAGATTCAGAGGACATAGAACTGTGCCTTATATTCAATCATTCAAAGCAAACCAACCTAATCCTTTCTCCCTTCTCCGGTTAATTATTTCCATCAAAATATTCCCAATTTCATTCATTTTTACCATACAAGTCGTTTACTCGGGTCTCTCTGTGATTTATGGGTTTTTGGACATGCATACTCGAGCAATCTTGACCCTCTGTATCCCTTGCATATCCTTTCTTTCATTTCTTCTCTTCTCTACCCGATTTGGCCCTCCATTGGGACTAATGTCCATCTGTTTTCCGTCTTTTCTTCTTTATGCTCTCTTTTAGTTTGTTCTTGTTGCAAGTGATCTAATTTTTCATATGTTTCTAGGAATAGTGACAGATCTTTCTTTTCAAAGAAAAGAAAACATTATTCAGATCTTTTATTGAAAAAATACACAACCAACGCATCTTCTTACACTAAAAATAAGAAAATCTATAACTTTTCCGAGATTCTTTTACCTAAAATAACTTCTAAGTCCATCTTTCTTTATCCAACTTATTCATCTCTTTCTAAAGGTGTTCATTTCTCGAAGAAATCGAGTTTTCACGTCCTCTTCCTGAAATTCTCGTTTTCCTTCATACAAAGTACTTGAAATGTCAGCCTCATGCCATTTTTTGATAAAGGAGTTATCATAAACATTCTAATAGAAGATTCAGCTCTGGGTAGCGGGGACTTTGAAAGATAAGTCAAGCAAAAGTTTTAGATTCTCAAGACAATTTCGCTCGATTTAGTCTCATTTCAAGTCTAGAATGTGTTCTTTTAAGTCCATCTTTTCTTTAAGTCCATCTTTTCTTTATCCAACTTATTCATCTCTTTCTAAAGGTGTTCATTTCTCGAATAAATCGAGTTTTCACGTCCTCTTCCCGAAATTCTCGTTTTTTCTTCATACAAAGTACTTGAAATGTCCGCCTTATGCCATTTTTTGATAGCTTTTTTCTATCTTTTTTCGATTAATAAAGTTAAAAGACTTTTTTTGAGCACTTTGAATTTTTTCCGCAAAAATTGACATGCATGAGAGCGTCCCATTTAGCCTCTCTTTCCCCGACCACCAAAAAAACGACTCCAAAAGCAGTTTGGTTTTAAAACAAACAGCTCAATGTTGTTTATTCTATTCTTTATTGCAGTATTGCTTTAAAGATCTTGCTTAAAGCTTTAAAGATCTAATTGGCAAGATTTTCATAAAGGAAAATGTGATAAGTAGAAGTAATAAGCTTCATTGTAAGAAAGATTGGCTAAATTACCTTAATTGGCCAAATCTCAGAGCTTTTCTGAACATTTTTACATCATAAAATCCCAAAATTCATCTTTTCTCACATCTCGCTTATAATTTTTCAAGAGTTTTTCTTATGATATAGCAATGAAAAGTTGAAATCCATGAAGCAAGCCAGCCAAGTCCCATATTCATTTTTGTCTCAGTGTCATTCTTCAATCTGCATACGAAATTTTGTTTCAAGAAAAGAACTGAAGAAAAGAGTATGATGGAAGAGAAATCCAAAGAAGTCTAATCCCCAAGAGTCATATTGTTTCTCTCGATCTCCGCTTTTTTCAGAGATCTTTGAATCTTTTTTTTGAATCTTGAAGCAAATCCCCTCTTTTTCTATTAATCCCTCCCATGGACAGAGGTTTAATCAGCCAAAAAGTGTTGATTTTGTGTTTTCAATGGTTATTTAGATTTTGGGACTTCTTTAGTGTCGAATTTTGCCAAAATTCAACCCTTAATTTAAAACTTTTTTTGTGATAGATTTTGAAAAACTCAAAATTTATTAGAATCTACAAAGTCTAAGCTATTTAATCATACTTTAAAGCCAAAATTAGACAAATCCTAAGCTATCTAATGCTTTAAAGTCAAAGTTGAACAAGGCCTAAGCTATTTAATAATGATTTAAAGTCAAAATTGACAAAGCCTACGCCATTTAATGCTTTAAAAGTCAAAATTAGACAAAGCCTAAGCCATTTAATGGTTTAAAAGTCAAAGTTAGACAAAGCCTAAGCTATTTAATGGTTTAAAGTTAAAGTGAAAGTCGAAAAGGCCTAAACTATCTAATCCTTTAAAATCAAAACTGGACAAGTTTAAGTCCAAATCAGTGAAACGAGATTGGCCAAATACTAAAGATAAAGAAGGCAAAATACTACTAAAGATACTAAAGAAGTAGCGATATTGCTATCAGGATTTATAAAGCAAAATTTTAAGCCTAATAGAACCTCAGTTAAACTTTCTTCAGCCTATCAATGAGCTAATCAAACTTCAAACTTTCTCCTCCAACCACAACATCATTTCTTTAGCCATCGCACAAAACTTTTCCCTTTTTTGGGGAGCATTTCAGTGATTCGTTGAGTCATTTAAAGAAAAAAAGCGAGAGAAACAGGAATCCATTCTCCTTTTTTCTCCTTTTTCTGCTTTTTTTCTTCCCCGACGGCGCATTGATCCCTCGACAACCCTAAGGGAGTTTCAAGCTTTTCACAGAGCAAAACCGGCAACTTTTTATCGATAAATTGATGTCTTTTTTTAAACAAATTTATTAGAATGGATAGTTGTGCTATATTTAACTCAAAGATTTATCAATTGACTAAACTTTTGCTTGACTTTTTACGATTTTGTTCCTGCTGCTCTGGTTTGTCTGTCGATTGGCGATTGTCGATTTAGATGTAAAAAAAACGTTATTTTATTAGGTACTCCAGAAAATAACTGCGTTTTTTCAATTGCATTCAATCAATTCAATCAATTCAATGCTTTTCAATTGCAAAATTATTTATTAAACAACAATGAAATTAATCAAAATAATTCGCCAGAATCAATAGACTTTTGCCATTTTGATTTGAATTGAATTGAATCAGTTTGTGCAGCTTTATGCAACATAATTATCCCTTTCGATTGACCAAAGATGGACTCAAATTCCTCAATTTTGAATGCATTTCTTTAATTTGTTCAATATAAATGTCTGAATTTACCCTTTTTCCCGTTTTGAGCAAAGTATAATGAATAACGCCCTTTTTATACCACCAAACATAGAGCAAAACTTTCTTTGGATGAAGATCGGGCTTCGGGAACAAATAAGGTGCTTCTCCTTTGTCAAGTCACTCCGAACGTTTTCGATTGTCATATAGTATCCACTTTTTATCGCACATGATCAACCGATTCAAAAATGGATGTCTATTGTTCTGAGATTTCAACGAAGAAGCAGCAAGAAAGCGTGTAAACTTCTGGCGGCCTTTCAACTGATGATGTATCCACTTCTCCAGTTTTCTTAACCTTTTTGATATTCTTCAAGTGGCCACTTAGGGTCGAAATCCCTATATTGAAGTCTTTTGCTAGTTCTGGCTCAGTAGTCCGCGGATTGGCTTCGACAATTTGCTCGGATTAGCTTCGACAACTTGCTCGGATTGGCTTCGACAATTTTAAATACGCATCATCAACGGGTCTTGGGCGGCCGCGACGCTCCTTGACATTAAGATCATCGTTTCCTTCCCAAAATGATTTGAACCAAACTTGAGTGGTCTCAAACAGAAGTAGTCTCATAAACAAATGCACGATTGATGTTTTCGACCACAACTGTTGCGCTATTTCCAAGCTTGAACTCATAGAAAGAATCGACCGAATTTGTCGTCTGTCCATTCTCCTCATGTCGAGCACCTAAAATTAGAAAGACAAATCTGTACCGAAAAGGAACCAAATCTGTATCGAAAAGGAACGAAAAGAAAATTGTTTAGATAGACAAAAATTTTAAGACATTTTAAAGAAAAGCTATAAACATTTTTTTATTAAAAAAATCTAAAGGAATCCGTCCTGAACAAACTCAAAAACAAGGCCCGAAATAATTGGTATAAAAAACGCAGTTATTTTCCTGAGTACTTAATACTAAACGAATCTCTAAGTCTAATTTTCGATTTTACTACAGTATTTTGTACTAGTACTACAGTACTAATGCTCGTTTATAAAGCTGAACATTTGAATTCTGCAAACGAAGACAAAAGATTGATCGACTGACGATGAATACCATTATTTCGGCTTACTATAGTACTACCATTTGACTGTACTGTCAAGTTTTCTGTCAATAACAAAAGTCTTCAAGTCTTCAAGTCTTCAACTAGTAATTTTTCAAAAACACCGCGAATTCATGCCTCAATTACCGGTGCAACGATGCCCATTCCCCTTGGAGACAATTTCCCCATCCGTGTCGTAAGCCAATTAGTCCGTGCTCGCTTGCTCTCTTTTTTCCCCATCAATGTTGAGCCATTTTTTCATGCTTCAACAAGTCTTATTGTTTCTATCAAAATTCAAAATTTTACTATGATTCTAACTTTACGATCATAAATTTCAAATCAATTTAGGCTCCCGATGAGGCTTCCGACAATAATCCTCCTACTTTTTCATGAGATTTACTCGTTGAGTCGCTGCTATTCTTGCTTAACTCACTGCCGGATTCTGCCTGGTGGAAAGGTTTGTTTTTAGAATCGATTCTGTTTTAAAATCGATTTCATTTCCCCAATTTCAATATTTATTTTCAGATCGACGCAAAAACTTGTGATTGCGTTGGAAAAGCTGAGGATAGCTGCATGGGAAACGCGTGTTTCGCGAAGATTGAACTGTTTTCAGAGGAGAAAACAGCGATTATACAGGTTTGAAGAAGATTTGATTTTATTCTCCAAAAAAAGAATTCTTCTAAATTTTGTTCTAGAAAGGTTGCACAACTGAGCTACAAGGAGGGCAAGTTGGGTGTCAATACGCGAGCAACTCCGAAACAGTTCACTGTTTTTGTCAAGGAGAGCTGTGCAACAATAGGAATCAAGTTCGTTACGAGCTTATTATTCATCAAAATAAATATCCTATCCGAAAACAATTTGCATTTGCAGTTTGCCGACTTTGTTCCCGCTAGATTGCCAACGGTTGAGTGCTGTGGTTGTAGTGAAAAACATGGAGATTCGTGTCCGAAAACGGGCTGTTTACACAAATGCAAAGGAAACTATTGCGTGGTCGACTTTGATGGAATCGAACAAGTAAACAAAATTCCTTTAATCTCTAATTCCTTTAATTTCTGATTCCAGGGCTGTGGCCTAGGCTTTCCGCGACTTCAGAATTTCCTTCGAATGCCCGCCTATTTAGATTGGCAAGGAGAACCGATTTGTGCTAGGTGAGTTAGCAAAATACTACTGAAAAGCCTAATACAGGGTAGCTGAAAGTTCTGTCCACATTAATAGACACCTAGGAAAATTGGCTAACAGGAAATAATAGTAATAAAAGCTTTTGAAACCATACTTTTCGTATCTTCCAGTTTATATGGTTGGCGCCGAGTCAAAAATTGTGTAGCCATTAAAATTTGAGATGAAACTTGAGACATTTTAGGCTTTTACAAGTTTTATCTTAGCGACAAATCTTCTAATGCGGACAGAACTACCCCGTAATTTCAACTACCTTGTAAATGACCAATGGTTTTTAATGATACATTTATTCACACGAATAATCTGGTACACAAGCACAATTTCTAAGCCCTAAATGTAGGGAAAAATCCAGATATATGAAAAAAAAGAACCTATACAACCAATAGTCTAGCTGACGGGATTGAACACTTACCCTCTTAGCCCTTGACCTTGACCTTGACCTTGACCTTGACCTTGACCTTGACCTTGACTAAGATACAAAGCTCTTAGCCAGTCAGCCATGGTGGCTTCAGTAAACTCCTTCAATTTAGGTATGAGGCTGGCCCGTCCACTGTAATGAACGGCTGCACTTGCACCGGTCTTGCTGGAAATTGCAATGAATTGAATAAGACAAGGAATTATCAAGTGAGTTGGAAATATTCTCAATTTCTACATACAACTATGGAAATAGTTAACTGGAAATTCAACTATGCAAATTTGAAATCTTTCTTTCAGCTCTCTAAAGTGATTGATCGACCAGAAGCTCCGTTAAACTATTGCTACAGTGTCAGCCACAAATCCGGGAAACCTTTTGGGCCAGAAGTGTTCAAAAAGTAATGCAAAAGATTACAAATGATTTTAGCAATCAAATTCAGATCTGTGACATGTGAAGGGCAATATTGTTTCATTTCGATGACCACCTCCGAAATCGTTTTGGAAACAGCCGACTTTGAGCACTCATACGATGATCATGAAGAGTTTGTCGGATTGGCAAGACCGAAATTCGAATTGCTTGCTGGGTGTTTGAAAGTCGATGATCCAAAGGTTCAAAAATTAGTTAAACCATTGGAATTTTTCTTTTTAGAAGTTGGTTGTTGGTTGTACTACCGAATATTCGCACAATCTAACCGATCCATTATCAAAACATTGCATTTGTGACTCTCATCTCTGCAACTTTCACCATCTTATTAGTGGGACTGAAGATCCAAGACCGAGAGTTCAGAACCAGAATTTGGAGAGGAACAGTGACGCAAGTAAGTTATGAAAAACCTTTTAATCAAATTCTTCAAACCCTTTAAACAAAAGTGATGAGGCGAAAAAGTTTTTCTTAGATATGGAGCCATTAGGCGCAGCCATCCCAGCCATTAGGCGGGTTTTTGAGTGTTTTGGAGTTAATGCATAGTTTGATCTCTCGATTTAACGGTCCCTTCCCCTTCAACTCCATGCCTGAAAACATTTAAAGCAAAAAAGTTTGGAACGAACGGGAATCGAACCCGGCACCCCCTTAAGGCAGTCGTTTTGTAGACGGGACGCTAACCACCTCAACCACCTTCTTTTGACTAGTAATTCAATACAGTTATCGGACATTTGATACGCGTCCCGCTCCTTTTGCCATTCGCAACTCAACTTTGTGCTCAAATATCTTGGTGTTGGGCTGTCCAATTTAAATACTTTTTTATCATTGGATGCACCAAGTCTTTCTCTGTCGATTGGTATAAAAACCATTTAAATTGGACCGCCCATCACCAAGATATTTGAGCTTAAAGTTGGATTGCCAATGGCAAAGGGGGCGGGGCGTGTATCGGATTTTTCTGGTCAATCTAATACAATCTGAAAGTTTTCTCGCTCATCGTGTGCCACTTGAAAAGAAATATTCACAATGAACATTCACAAATGAACATTCACCATTACCCTGAATAAAGATTTAGCAATATCAACAAGTTTAGTCTCTAAAAAGCCCACCAAAGTGTTGGTGAAGGCGGTGGGTAAAAGAAGAACTTGATACCAATCATATTGATTGGTATCAAGTTCTTCTTTTAGGTGAAAAAAATGGCACAATTCTGCGTGTCAAAAGGAAATTTTCTGACCTGGAATAGGCTATAAATCAATTGAAAAGCTATAAATCAATTGAAAAGCAATGCTTACATTCATTGCACGACTGTTCTCGATTCTGAGCATCAAGTCGTATTCGACTGTCCCATTTGAATAGATAATACACTGTTTGAAGCGATCACCTCAATGAGAAGTTGGACTGAAAAAGAAAGATGGTTTACATTGGGAATCTAAGCATCATTTCCCACAGATTATTTATTTGTTAAGTTCAGTGTTTTTTAAAGGACCTCCTACCGTACCCTTATTTGTCCGGTCCGCCATTTCGCAGCATTGTTTTTCTTTGTTTAAAAGATTGAACATTTTGCTGTCCGAGAGTTGAAAAAGCTGAAAAAATGAAAAATTTTGTTTAAAGGGCCTCTTCAATTGGAATAAATCCAGTAATTGGTGAATTTATTTACTAATGGAAGTATGGAAAGGAACAAAAAGACTTACCCTAAAGTCGCGAGTAGAAGTTCTGTTTGGTTTTCGCATGCAAATTGACGGCTGTCTCCGGTGCGGTGTGTCGAGGGTTCGAACCCCGCTGCAGCATAACTTTTTTACTTTTTAAGAACAATAATAGAAGTAAATTTATTGAGGGTTATAGCAATTGTATGCTGTTATTTGTTGCTCCGGGCGTGGCTCGGCGCGTCCGCCCTGCTCCTCTCCGGTGCTCAGTCTTATGGATCCCTCCATGGCCTCTTCATGGCCCTCCCTGGCCTCTTCATCCGGCCAAAGTCCACGTCGACGGTCGAAAGAGATGCTTTCCAGCGTCTTCTTCAACACTATCGTCTGGATGTATCCATGTACATAACAAATAGCAATGGTGATAGGCTGTCACCCTGTAGTATCCCGCGCTCCAAGAACAATAAAAGCTTATATAACAATAAAAATGTATAAAAACCCAACAAAAAGAAATTCAAAGCAATTAAAGCGAATGTAAATTAAGGCAGAACTTATACTCGGATGAACTTATACTCGAGACTTTAGGGTACCGTATTTTCTCTAATAGTAGTGCACCCCGGGGAGCCGAGTTGATGACTATTTTACCATTCCCAAGCTTTTGCAGAAGCTCAACACTCTAATCCCCCACAAGATCTCATCGTCAGCTACATTTTCCGACCCCACATCGATAGGTTCTGATAAGCGCTTTTCGAGATTTCGAGCAATTTAGGCGACGCTCAGGGTGCACTACTATTAGAGAAAATACGGTATTCATTAACTTAATCCAACAAGCTATTTGATAGTAAGCTGTAAGCCGAAGCTCACAAATGAACTCATAAAACTTTCAGAAACGTCTCCAATCTCGCAAAACAAAGTCTCCATTCTACCTCCAGCAACGAAATCAGCAATAAATCCAACCTCTTCCGCTATATTTTTCTCTCTTTTCGTGATTTTATTCAACTTTTTCTGCTAAAGTTTAGTGAACTTTCTGGCTGATGATCTCATTTTCAAAACTATTCAATTTTCAAAACTCTTCAACTCCTCCCCAATCATCCTTTACTGCCATTTGCTTTTCTTCAACTCCCGGTCTTAATATTTTCTTTTTTTTTTCTAAAATTTTTGTCAAACTACGGGTAATTGCTGTGTTTGAAATGTTATTTTGCATAAATCTTTAAACTTTTTATAATAAAAGTTCACTACAACTTGTCGAATTCATTCACTTCGAAATCTTTTCAAAACAAAATACAAAAAAAGACTTTTGAGATAAGTGGAGTTTCTCAAAACCTTGATTATACCTTGGTTTCTAAAAAAATATGGGTTCTTGTCTTTTCCAAAAATAAATGAACTTCCGAGCGTAATTTCTGAGTAAGCTCCCGTTTTCAGATCTAAAAGATCAGAAAAAGGAAGTAAAATTCCCAGTACAGCAATTTTGTTTCATTCGAATGTCAGATGATGATCTCTTCTCTTCATTCAGTTTTTCTTTACGACTATTATCTAATATTATCTAGTATTATTTTCCTTCACGACTATTATCAACTCAGCTAGAAAAAACAATAATTATTATAGTCGCGTGAGTGGTTTTTGGCTTTAAATTCTCTTATAGCTTCGTCAAGTCTGGCTTGTCTTAGAAGTTAAAACTTGAGGTACAAAGTTGTTTTTGTAACATTTAACGGTAAGCAGCTTGCGTACGGTCAATCGTTAACAAAGTTTATCGATAAAATACCTTTCTTGGTGATTTCACAGGCTTTCTTTGGGGTTCTTGATAATTTTTCTTGATTATTTCTAGCCCTAAGCATAGTCTTGATGAAAACAAGAGTAACTGATATGAACTCAAAACAAAAACATCACCTAATCATGGTAAAAAGCTTACTGTAAGTGCTGTCAAAGTTGTACATTAACTAATTGAGCTACAGCTTTTATCCCATCAATCTTTGGCCTTGCCTTGCCAAAGATCGAACATCAATCTTTGACCTTGTTTGCATTTCGTTTTAAAGCCACCATGGCCACCTGGATAAGGGTCTTTTATCTTGCAAGGGGATGACACCAGCTCGAAGTACAAAAACGCTTTTTGAGTGCATCACATAGAACCGGCTATGCTGATTCTGAATTGGTAAAAATTAGCTGCAAACACCCACGCAATCGCAAAGAATTTGGCATAGAAAATTCCCTTAAATTTCGGGCTTTTCAGGGGACCGTTACAAAGAAACTTTTCAACTTTTCAACAAAGAAGCTTCCATGGCCTAGCGGATAGTCTGCTAGCCTACAGAACTCGTGAAGTTTTTTGGCTTTGGTTCGAATCCGCCACTGGCCAATTCTTTTTCTAATGTCTTTGCATTAAATTTTTATGTTTTATGCACTCTTTTACAACTTGTAACGGTGTTCATAAAAGTTGTAGTTCTCAAATGCATTATGCTGACTGGCTGAGAGCCCTGTGTCTTAGTTCATGACTTTATTAATTTTGATAACAAAATTAGTGTTCTTTGTAAAAGAAGTAGTTTGTTTATACAAAAAAACACAAAGTTTTGTATTGCTTTTTTGCACGTATCTTTATAAGAACCTATCTTTGCATTTGTTGTTGTTGTTGTTGTTCTTGTTCTTGTCCTTGTTCTTGTTCTTGTCCTTGTCCTTGTTCTTGTTCTTGTTCTTTTTCTTGTTCTTGTCCTGGTCCTTGTTCTTGTCCTTGTCCTTGTTCTTGTTCTTGTCCTTGTTCTTGTTCTTTTTCTTGTTCTTGTTCTTGTTCTTGTTCTTGTTGTGTATAGTTTTTGAAATGCACAAGTTTCCATTCTTAAGTTTACTTTACAATTATTAAGACCGCCATAGCTGGCCATAGCTGACTGGCTGAGAGCCCTGTATCTTAGTCGGGAAGTCAAGGGTTCCATCCTGTTAGCTAGATTGTTTAATCCTGTTGGCTAGATCCTCTTTTCCCATATACCGTATTTTCTCTAATAGTAGTGCACCCTGAGCGTCGCCTAAATTGCTCGAAATCTCGAGAACCGCTTATCAGAACCTATCGATGTGGGGTCGGAAAATGTAGCTGACGATAAGATCTTGTGGGGGATTAGAGTGTTGAGCTTGTGCAAAAGCTTGGGAATGGTAAAATAGTCATCAACTCGGCTCCCCGGGGTGCACTACTATTAGAGAAAATACGGTATATGGGTTCTTCGGCTACATTTAGGGCTTAGCGATTGTGCTTGTGTACCACATTAATCATGTGAATAGATGTATTTTTAAAAAAACGAATTCTTACCCAAGCAACAATCTTTGATCCACTCATCAACTCGATCACACATCGTGCTTTTACCCAATCCCCACCAACGACATAGGACACTTCCCGGTGAGAAGCAATTTCACATGTAATTATTTTCTGTGCTCATTAGTCGACCGGGTGCTTCGGTGAACAAAGCTCCTCGAAAAGAGACGAAAGGCTTCACTTCCTTCAAATAATTATCATCTCATCAAAGTCGTTGCGAAAAGAAAGAAGAAAGAAGTGAAGAAAGAAAGAAAGAAAAGCTAAAGAAAGAACTCTTTCAATAAGAGATCCTCTTTTTATCCAGCTTTTCCATTTTGTTTCTTTTTTAAAACAAACGTGATTTTCTTTGCTCTTCTAAAAACTATTGTTCTCAACAATCACAAACAAAAGAACAGCAAAACGATGTTCTTTGAGAGTTCTCGAGAGTGAGCGTTTTTAAATCAAAATCTTATCTAGTTTTAGCAACATTGAGTTTTGTTTATCTGAACAAACCTTATTCAATCCAATATTGTTAACTACCCCAGTCTAATCAACCTTGTTAACTACTCCACTCTAATCAACCTTGTTAACTACTCCAGTCTAATCAACCTTGTTAACCACTCCAGTCTAATCAACCTTGTTAACTACTCCAGTCTAATCAACCTTGTTAACTACTCCAGTCTACTGCAAATTATTGCAAAGTTTTCTCACTCTAATTTCTATGATATTAAATTTTTTATTCCTCGAACGCTCGTCGATCCCGAATTTTCGCTTAAATATTAGGTGCTTTTTGCTCCAAAGCAAGCAAATTTATGAGAAATGTGGTTTTCATTTGGTGGAAAAAAGGGGTAAAGACGTTTCTCGTTTCTCTTGAGTTCTTCAGTTTTATAATCGGCCATTGGTTCACTGGGCATCTGGTCAGAAAGGTAAAACGGGCAATCGCAACTTTTTCTGACAGATTAAACTTTGAACTTTTTAAAAAAAGCTTAGAGAAGAGTTAAGGTTTTAGATTTTAAGTACAAAGAGTCAATTTTAAGGTTTAATTTCGGCTTGAAAGGTTTAAGCTCGGCTTGAAAGGCTTGAATTCGGCTTGAAAGGCTTTAGTCCGGCTTGAAAGGCTTGAGTCCGACTTGAAAGGCTTGAGTCCGACTTGAAAGGCTTTAGCCCGGCTTGAAAGGCTTTAGTTCGGCTTGAAAGGCTTTAGCTCGGCTTGAAAGGCTTGAATTCGGCGTTTGTTTAACTTTTAGCTATACCAGTTTTCTTTTGAACACCAACTAGATACAGTTATGTTTTTATTACGTTAAAAGTCATGTAAAAGTTGCCTACGCGTTCGTATTATGGGATTTTGACAAAACGCAACTTAAAACACTCACGACAAAGCCATTTTTGTCTTGGCTGCCTTTTTGGACGACAGCTATCTATGTTAGACAGGAAAATTTGTAACTGGAGGCATTCTGGGATAGAGAATCTAAATTCGTTATTAGTTTTTAAGCAACTTTAATTTAATTTTAATTTCCAAGCCAATACGAAGCCATTAAAAATGGAAAATGCCATTAAAATGAAGAACTTTGATGCACAAAGATCGATTCTTTGACATCGATATTTTGACAAATCCTAGATTTTACTCAAATTCTATCCCTCTAGTAGAGTCGAAATTGTTGAATTGTTGAAAATGAATTGCTTTAACCGATTCAAACAAGATTCTTGTGAATTTTAACAATTCAATTAATGAATAAAATGTGATCAATTAACAAAAGGTATAGCGATAAGTAGAATTTGAATTTGAAAGGCTTTCAACTTGAAATTTTGAATACAAGTCATTTTTCATGTGTGCAAGCTAGAATTTAGGTTATAAAGGAGAAATTAAAAGTTCAAAGGTTACAAAGATAGTCATTTTTAATATTAGCACATTCAAAAAAAGGACACTTTTGTCTTAACTGCCGTTTCGAGCGACTGGCCTCAAAATTGGCCTCAAAAAAGTGCTAAATCCACTGATTTTGAAAAGGCACTCCGCGTCTGTAACTCCTTGTCTACCGTATTTCTAAATATTTATTACCATTGTGTAGCCCTGAAAGAGCCTCAGATAAACACTAATGTTTTCAAACAGGAGGACAGGCGCGAAAGTGCGACGTTTTCAATATTATTTTGTCAGTACTGTACGTACGCCCGAAAACTACAGCAATTTTATAAGCTACCGTAAGCTTAAATAATATTCACCATCAGTGACACTGCAGATCCATAGTGGAAGCCTCCGGAGCCTCAAAAAGCTCTCAGAAACCTCAAAAGTTCTCATAATTATCGTTGCGATTAGATAAAGAGTTTATGAATGCACTGCAAGACTGCACTGAAAGACTGCACTGCAAGACTTTCATCATACTCATTCTTTTCTAAACTTTCAATCGTTCTCTGGTGTCTTTCATTTAAATGCATTGACGATTGTTAATGAAATGGAAACACAAAACAACCCAGAAACGAGTCTCCAATTCGTAGTTTCCCTTCTCTTTCCCTTCTCTTTCCTTTTTCTTTTTTTACGTGTGAGTGTTTCCATTCCTCACTTCCACTTCCATCATCTAAATAAATTCTCTCCGATTGCCTTGAATAGTCAAGCCTTCCTCTAGTCTTGAATTCCTCTAGGATTTTGGTGCTTACACAAGCTTCTCTTCCTTGCTTGAATAGATT